GTGATAAACGTTTCAAATTCTTTCGCTTTTTTGTTTCCGATGCGATGAACCGATAAGGCGGATTATATCGGTTGTTGCCAAACACGAGCACATAATGTTATTATTGAGACAGGGCGGTACTCAAACTTCTAAAGGGCTATAACTTTGTTACTTTAATTTTACCAGAAAAATGTGAAGGAAAAAAGCATTTCTTTTGATCAGATCTACTCACTGTTAAAATAAATGACTCAACTTCGAAGTCCCTGTATAAGAAGGTCGAATCAAGCGGGACAGGCAGTTTTGTTCTAGTGCTAGTGCGTTTCAGTACACAGCAACTCTAAAGCCTTTTTAAGTGGAATACTCCGTGAAATATGTCTTCACAGAAACGAAAAATAACGAACGAACATCGAGTTTATAATGACCGTTGGGAATCAGAATATTTAATCTCAAACAATAATAATAAACTTCAGTGCATTGTTTGTATGCAAGTACTATCGGTTCCTAAAGAATATAATATGAAACGATATTACACTACGTTACACGAGAAAACGTTTCGGCAATATTCAGGGGACTCGAGGCAGGCTATCATAACGGAATACAAGAAAAAACAAGTTTTTTCAAAAAATCTGACTCTGATAACAAGTGCAGTATTGCCGCCTGTTACAAAATAGCGCTGGAAATTGCCAAAGCAAAAAAACCTAGTGATGGAGTGCTTATCACAAAGTATGCAATAGAAATGGCGAAACAATTCAATGAATTAAAAGTTGCCGAAAATTTTGAAACAGTCTCAGTATCGCATCAAACAATTGCAAGATGGGTGGACCATATCAATGAACATGTATCCAAAAAATTGCGTGACGTGGTTGAAAAATGTAAATATTTTTCGCTATGCATGGATGAAAGCACTGATCTGTCTGACATTAGCCAGCTTGTAATTTTTATCCGAACTATTCAAGACGACTTCAGTGTAGCAGAGGAGATGCTTGACCTTATTCCTCTCCATGGTACAACCAAGGGTACAGATATTTTTGAAGCTGTGAATAAGTTGGTGTCAGACTACGGGGGATTTGATAAATGTTCCTGTATTGTCACTGTTGGCGCCAGAGCTATGACAGGGACTGAAATTGGATTTGCAGGACTATTGAAACAAAACAGCATCAACTGTTCTATGATACATTGTATTGTTCACCAAGAGAGCTTATGTGGAAAATCTTTACGTCAAATAAATGTCATGAAAGTGGCTGTTAAAATAACTAATATTGTTAGAGGGGGCAATCGTGCTTTGACTCACAGAAAGTTTCGTGATTTTTTGGCCGAAGTGGATGCTACATATGGGGACTTGTTACTTCACACCGATGTTCGTTGGTTAAGCGCCGGAAAGTGTTTGCAACGATTTTTCGCTCTACGCAAGGACATTTATATTTTCCTTAAAAATGAAGTGAAGTCCGACACTACGGAACTGGAAAATCAAATGGCAGATGCACAATTTTTAGCAGACACTGCATTTTTAACAGACAACATCTCACCTTAACGAATTGAATTTGAAGCTACAAGGAAAACAGCAGAATATTGCCAACTTATTTAGACACATAAATGGGTTTTAGAATAAAATTAAGCTTTTCAAGGCTTCAATACAAAAAAATGATTTTTCATTTTTTCCAAGTTGTAAAGAACATTTCGAAGAAATGAAGGATTTTGAGGAAGTATCATATTTACCTCATATAAAATACATTGACACAAATGCAGAAGAATTCAAAAATCGATTTAATGGCTTTAAAAAAATCGAAAGCGACATTTCAGTTTTTACTCAGCCACTAACAATTTCTGTTGAGAACGTAAGCAGAGCAGACCTTCAACTGGAATTGTGTGATTTGCAATCAGATCCTTTTTACCGAGGAAGAACTGAAACTGGCTTGGACTTTTTTATGATGGGAAGCACGTATCTTTGCGAAAGCACCTTTTCGAACATGAAATTGATCAAGTCAAAGTATAGATGTTCCCTCTCTGATAAGTCACTTACTCAGTTACTTCATTTATCAACAACAAATATTAATGTTAATATTGATGCATTAGTATTAGAAAACCAACATCCTCAAATGTCCCACTGATTTTTTTGTAATTTCATATTTTTTGAATAAATAAAAATAATAGAAAAACTATTTTTGTATACCATATAGTATAGTATATACCTATTAAAACTCAGTAATAATGTTGTATAGGAAGATTTTATAATGCGGCCCTCCAAATTGCATTTTTTTTTAGAAGTGGCACTTGGGCCACATTAAGTTGGACAGCCCTGTTTTACAGCATGGCTTAGAGGATAAAATACCTCTGTATAATTAAACATTTTAGGTATATTCGTGTAATAATAACTTTGTGGCGCTCGTACATCGAAATCACCCAACTCACAAAAAGCATTAGTGCATTAGTAATTTTTCTAGTTTAGTTTGTCGGAAAACTATAAAATCATTGAACCAATGAGTGGTTTCTCGTATATATTCGTAATAGAGAGTGCGCTGAAATTACGCATCCTACAAAATAACTATTAATTACATACAATACTGTGGATATCGTTTTTTACAAGTTTTTAACTCTTTTTAGATTACACTTTTTCATCGTATGCCGCTGGCGAGGCAGTGTTGTGATAGCGAAAATTTTCGAAATTGTCTCTCGGTCTATCTGTCTGTTTCTCCGCTTATCCTTGGCCCGTCGATACCTTGAAAAGTACCACTCGATTTTTGATGAATTTTTAACACTACACTACAACTAACATTATTGCTCTGCCAATGACGAAAAGGCTTTGTATTTTTTGAAAATCGATCTCGTAGAGAACGGGCTAGAGGAAAAAAAAAACGAAAAAAAAAAATAAAAATCACCCAATCTTCACTTTTGGATATTTCATGGACTAATTCTATAGGCCTCATTGACTGACTAGATTCACTTAATTTTTTTGTTATATATATTCTTAGCTAAAATCTTCCTCAAATGGATGAACTGATGACACTGTTGCGTAGGAGCTACATAGTGAACCCACTTGATCCTGTTTTTTTGGCGGCGGCGGCGCGACGAAAAAGTTAACGTAGCAAAGTGAAAACTCGAAGAACACCTCGAAATCTATATGTATATTAGTTTTGTCGAAGTAAATAAATAGACTAAACAGAATCAAACATGATATGTCTCTATGAAATTTGATTTTTCTGAAGAAAACGTCGATGAAAATACCAAAATTGGGCCGTCAAGATGATTAATAGTCTATTACAATTTTACGTATGATGTTTCTGTATACAAAAATCAACTTACCTATTTTTGTTTTCCAAAATGCTACTTGACAGGAGCAAGCATGGAAATAAAAGAAAAGTTGATATAGAATGTCTAGATAACAGTTATCATATTCATAAAATAATTTGTGTATAAAAAAGTGCTATTTTTTCGTGCGACAATTACATCGTCAAGAGTGGCACAAATAGTTTACGCTGGAAATACATATAAGATTTTTTGTACAACTGGAACAATTTATCTTTTCGTATATTATAGTAGTAAAATTGAAAAATAGTCACGTGTTCTTGTAACATGGAAGCATTGCATGATTGGTCCAATCACAACCAGTACGAATCATTTTTCCTACTTAGTCACTTTAGATCGGCAAAGTTATCACTTGTGATCAGCCATTGAAAAACGTTAACTTTGCGTGCATTTTTCGGTATTTTATTTACAGTTAAAATCCTATTTTTACTGGAACTTACTATCCACAGAAATTTAAAATATACAAGACTGCATGAATCTGTTTAAAAGCTGTAAGTGTCGTAACAAAAGTGCCTCAAGCCACTTGTCGTCTTAAATGCGTAAGATCATGTATCTCTTTTGCATTTCTATTTGTAAAATTTGTACTGTCTGCAAAAGTCAATCGTAAATATGGATGTATTGTCTCAATTCAATAAATCACCAACAATTTTATGGAAGATTGTACTCACTTGCTACTAAGTAAAAGCTCGGCTTCATCAGGCGTCATCACGTCAGTCTCATTACTTTTCCTTACTCCTGATTCTTGGTCTGTGTCACTTGCATCAGCATACTCCACGTCGTTGAGATCCAAAATGTTGGCTTCTGCCTTTTGTACTTCAGAATTGTGCCTGGATGGGCAAAAGTCCTGCAGGATTTCCTTGTTTACTATAAACGGTTCTGATCGGACGCTAGCACTGCTGTCCACTGAGTCGTCCTGATCTAGTGCATCTTGAGCTTCTTGACTTTCTAGGTCGGCCAGCACTGAGTTTGTGATGTGCTGTATTATAAAGAGTATTGGTTACAACTACATTTGTCGCTTACTAATAAAGACCCGAATCGATGATGTTTCTCAAGATACTGTTATAGACTATACGAGGTCAGTAAGTTAAGTGATGAGATTAGCAACGAAGCGTTCGATCTGAAACACTGGAGACCCCGAGACAGGGAACAATGTGATCCATCTTCAGTACAAGTTTGAACTCTCTCGAGTCATTTGGTTGTCCGTAGCAAATTTTTTTGTGAAACAGTTTTTTCTATTGTGTTCTAAAAATGAGTAACATTAATTTCGATTAACAGTGTGCTATCCTGTTTTGCTTAGCTTGAGCAGGCCTAGGGAGTTAATTTATTTTGAAACCTTTGACCTTAGGTCAAATCTTCCGCTTTTGCTTTGCCGAAGCTTTGATTGAAGAGCGGCAGTCTTAATATTTCCTAAAGTGAGCTTGGAAAATCCAAATACATATTTTGCGGACCTTACCTGCGATTTATCATGATACATAACGTCAGAGTCGACGGAATCCTGTGGGATAACAGTGACTTGGGATACCTGGCTGGTTTCAGAATCCGTAGAAGGTACTGATTTCTGTTGGAGCATACTCCCCCTGGTGGGATGTGGAGGAACCGGAGGTGTCTGTGGAGACGGAGATCGAGGAGGTTGTTGGGGCTGAGGTGACACCTAAAAAACATTAATTTTACATGTATTAGTTTGTTGTTGAAGATTTATTTAACAGTAATGCTACAATGTCAATTTTGTATAATAATTCGGTTACATATTTTTCTTCAATCCATTTTTTGTAATTTAACATTCTTGTCTATTAAAATTACATCACTATGTATTTTGATTATTAAAGTACATATTTCCAGTATGACAGTCAGAGGTAAAATTTCTCCCCAACCGCTGGCCGAACAAGTGGACCTTTATTTGTAATACATGCCACTGACTCTATTTTTTTATTGCTCGTAATTTTTTTTTCATAATTGGTTTGCGTACCTTGGCATGAGGTTTGCATGGCACTGCATACAGGGCTTCCACTTGAGCTTGAGTCAGTCTTGGTACTAGTGGAGGAGGTGGAGGTTCTTCTTCTTCTAAAAGTGGTGGACCTTCACTGTATTCTTGAATATCCTACAAATGAAACAAACATATAGTCAAAGGAAAATATAATGGAGAGATGGAAAACATTTTAAAAATGAAGACCACATAATGTCTCCAAACCTTCAAGTCCATAAAAATGTGTGATACAATGCTTCGGTTATATTTCTATTACTTCAGAGGACATCCGTCAAACAGCAACTTTTTTGCCTGAAGTTAACTGCATCATGTTATAATATACTTTAAGGACATGGTCAGCCGCAGCTATCAGTGCAACATCGTACTGTAACTAGCTAAAAAATGGTGGGAAAGGTAAGGTAAGGCGAGCAAATTAGGGGGAGATAAGAGATGTCACCAAAAACATGGTGTCCACAAAACACGTGCTGTTCTTAGTTGTATACTACTCGAAGTGTTTTGTTCAAATTTACTTTTGTTTGGGCATTTATTCATGGTGGGGATATTTATCTTCTGCTTGAGGCCTACGAAACATATTTTTTATTCAATAATTCATGTAAACAGAAGTTATTCTCAAAAACATGTAAGTTATCACATAGCTATTTGACTTTTAGGGCCTTACGCGAAATTTACACGATTTAGTTTAGTAACAAAAGAGAAATGTCAGCTTGAAATTCAAATTTCTTCTTACCTTAAATTGCTTATTTGACCAATCGTCGGTGTATTGGACACTGTTGCCAGTTATATAGACAGCCGCAAAACGATATGTTTACTTGTTTCGAATGACTTCTTTAAGTAACCACCAAAAACCGTGAGAAGAACTGAATTCCATTCAGCTCAGTATAAATGTAGCATTTTCTAAACATTTTATGACAGTATGGCAACACCGCCTCAGTAAATACAGAGCTAAACACGCGGATCTTTGACAAAATGTCGAGTCATCTATGAGCGCATCGCCTAACCTCCTTTGTAAGCCAGTAATAGTCCAAGAGCCGACCGCAAAGTTTTGGTTACATCGCGTAATGATATATTTTAGAAACTTGATGCTGAACAACAAACTGGGCAAGTTTGCTGTTTAGCATCAAAATGCGTAAGTTTTGACCAATTCTTATGGTACCATATCAGTACGCGATGGTGTAAATAAAATTTTGCGGTCCGTTACCCTACTATAATGTAGAAGAAAAATACGGTAAATAAAGCCGACCGGCGGATTATGACATTCTACGAAGTGTCTTTTCTTGATATAACTAATCTTTGTTTATAGTGAAATTTGATTCTGCATGATTATACGCACCTCCTCTGGAGGAGAGCCAATTCCTCCAGATGGTTGTAGCGGAGCAGGAGAATCTTCGTGTGGCCTTAATCGGGCTTCAACTCGAGGAGAAGGCTCGGTGAAGCCACCTAGAAATAAAACAAGTAAACTATGTATAAACATATGCTGGATACACTAAAAGCAATGCCAGTCGACCACTGCTAAAGTAAATAGCAGCTATTGGAACTGTAAACATATCTCAGTTCGCGTTGTTTGCCGAGTCATTAGATTTGTGTCCGTTTCTCCGACGTCTCATTCCCATCGGCACCCGTATTATGTGATTTAAAAAGTGACAACATCGATTTTTTATGAGATCAAGTGGGTTTTCTCGACATTGTAGGTTTTCCTATAAATTGTCACCTTTGATCTGCGGATCGGCGACACAAGCACACGGCTATTATGGAAAAAAACTCAAAAATAGTAAAAAAAAACAACGTAATGTCATATTGCAGACTAGTTTTTGGTGTGCAAATAGTTCATCCCACGTTTACTCGCTATGACCGCTGTTCACTGACGTTTAAGCAACACGTACAGCAACAAAACGAGTTCACAACAAGTGTACAACAGCTTATGCTAATATCTTTTCAAGATACGTAATACCCGTGTTGGTCTGTCTAGCAGGCGCGCGGCGGCATCATGTAGGAGAGCTCGGTGTAGCAGTAGAAGAGAGCTAGATCGCCGTCGCCAATGTGAAAGTGTCTCAAGACTGTCTGTTAGAGAAGAGTAATCGATCCGTCGGACTGCCCTCCTCTGAACATCATACAAGTTAAAGTATATATTGGCACATTTAAACAAATATTATCGTACCTTCACTATCCGATGTAGCAGAGCTAACCAAAGAAGCCGGTCTTTTTCCCAAACCAGCAGCAGGCAAGTTGAGGCACACCGTTGAAGCTTTCGCTGATGTCCTTGTTCGACTTCCATCTTCAGATGATCTAGGCGATTCTGCATCTGGTTTGCTACGTCTCGACTCGGGAGTATCTGCAGATAGAACTTCCTATTAGCTATTTTTTTCTTATTTGTGAATAATATATCTCGAGGTTGTGACATGGATTTCCTAATTCCTCAAAAATTACTTAGTTTCTGGAGTAACATAGACGGTTTCTGGTAGCTGCACAATAATTTGTGATTCTAGTATAGACATCGCATCACCTGTACTGAATACACCGTGCTTTTCAAAAAATGTTCATCTGCTTATTATTTGAACGGGTCAAGAGGGAAGAAGTTGAAATTCGGGGTGATGAAATTGATGACCAAGTGCTGCTATGTTCTAAATGGAAATAACCGTAACAAACTTCAAGATTTTATTGCATGGAATGCAACAACCAATCATCAAAACGCCAACAAAAAATTAGACAATCACTATACAACGTACAAAATTCGTGGCACAGTAGTTCCTCAGCCACATAAATCTATAATGCAGCGGCCATATCTCTATTTAGCGCCAAATTTTTTTATATATATTTTATTTCGGATTCGAAATTATCACAAAAGAAATGTGAAATAGCTGACTTCATTCTATATCTAGAACTAAAATTTATAAACTCATAAATACGAACATAAAGGAAATACAGAATCTACTGTGACTAACTCTTGCCTTTTTTTTGTAAGTTGTATTCTACAGTTACAGCTTGAAATTATTGCTCGATGCATAGGGATGGGCCTGTTTTTATTTTATATTTTCATATTTACTCATGTTGTTTTCTTTGTACATTGAGTGAATAAATATTATTATTCTCTTGGAAGGGTTATTCGAATATGTAATAAAATATGAAACATTCCATTCAAAAACATTGTCAAAATCTGTAAAAAAATGTCTGTTTTATTGCACATTCATTCCAAAAGAAGAAGTTTGATATTACATTCTATAAATTTTATGATATATAAAGACGTTAAACTTTGATTGCCTGCCATTTTGAAAGATAGTGATTTTATATTCTAGGATTATAAAATATTCATATGGAGCTTCACAATAAGGTATCACATGACTCCCCATTCCATTTAAAAATAATGGCGTCATCTTGAAATGTTCAACTGTTGCTGTAATGTTAAATTATATGATGCATTAACTTCACACCACTCCGAATTTCAACTTACTACCTTAACGCGTTCAAAAAACAATTAGAAGGGGACCTTGCTGAAAGCCACTGGATACACCGAGAGTCAAATTTGTCTGACGGCTTGAGTTCAATGTTTACAAGAAAGAAGTGTGTATGGACACATATGTTAGAATGAGATAGAAGCCAGCTGGTTGCGAAGCTCATCACCGCGTTGCATAGCAACGCTGACGTGACAATATACTGCGTTGTCAATATGTTACACCAGTTCTTTGAATTGAGTCGCATGTTGAAAATATGTGTTAGTTTATTCTCTATGACCAAATAATGGCTTTGTTTTGAGCGTACGCATTTTTGAATTGTGTCGAATCTGTTTAGGATCGATTCCGGATCGGTCCTTATGGCGCTCCATTTTAGGTCGAAATGAAAGGTCAGGTTCGCCACAAATTCTGCAACATTGCATCATTGTTTCGCTTGGCAAACGCGGCTCTCGTGCATTCCAGCGGAAGGTTTCCACCTCCATGATCATAGATGAGCGATTGTGGTCAGTACCCATCTAGCGCTCATTATGGAGTGTCGCGCTGCTTCGAAATTGATTGATTGATAATTGATAATCTACTATCAATAATTATATTAACTAAAATTAAACCAATGCTGAAACTAAATATGGAGGATTTTAAGGAAAGGCGACAAATGTTTAGCATAGTTTTAGTACCTGAGCAGTCAATACATAGAAGTCTCAACCTAAGGCACATCTTCAGCAATTTCACCATCTAGTTCACCATACACCATTCTTATTTTAATATAAATTACTTCAATAAATTATGGAGTGTCTAAATCTGGGCGTGAAAAAATTATTACTGATAGTAAAATTTAGTGAAACAACGGCTTTGTTTCGCCAATCTAGCGGCAATTGATTTACAGGATGAAAAGGCGTAACTGATGTTAAATTACAATCTGTACGGCTTTGAGTTCTAAAATAATCACAGCGAAGTATTAATTAATAGAATCATACCTAGAGTTCATTTTGGGTGGGCAAAGCGGGTGTTGTATTCACAATTCGAATTTGGGACATGCTTGGATTTTTGAGCAAAAAACCGTTAATAATTAACTCGTAGCGTGACTGGCTTTTAAATGTAAATTTTTAGGCTAATTCAAAATTGTAAAAATGTCATTCAATTTTGACTTTAATAGTTTTGAGAAAAGGTTCCAAAAACCAACCAAAATAGCATCGAAATTTTAAAGTTTTTCGGATTTCTGATGGATTAGAATTTCTTAGGGTTTCTGGTGGATTTCAAAGAGGTCTGAATTTCAATGCATTTTAAACAGTGTAGTTTAATTTCTTGATGACTTCTAGGCGTAGTCAAAAACTTATAAAGCGGCTTACATACGTTTCACCTGGGCAAATTGAAGATTCATGATGCTTACAATTTTTACGTATCTAAAATTTTCAGAAGTCCCGATTTTTTACAACCCTTAACATTCCATTGAGTTTAAGCAAAAAATTCAAATAATATCCAGTAAAAACTTCTAGTTATCAGTTATATTTTTCGTTCGTCCTGTTTGTTTCAATTGTGCGGATTATGCCGTAGTTATACCTTTTAAAAATAATGTGCTTTTGATATTCGAATATCCACTAAAAATACTACAGGAGTTATTTTTTTAATTATATACCGATATATTACACATGTTGTTATGTGAAACAACCCGACACTTTGAAAAAGTTAGTTTCACGGTTGTCTACACAAGGTGTTTCCTAGTCGTAGACTAACATTCAGAACGATATTCAAGAACATTTTGAGGATATTTCTATGCCTAATTATTCTTTAATGATTTTTGAAAAACCAGGACGATCATTATTTGAAAACATTTTATACGCTTTTCGCCTTATTACAAAACATGCACCTAACCATCAACCATCACTATCAACGAGTTTTTCAGACAACAATATGACATTCACCAGATTGTCGTTATATTAATGTTTTTTGTGGCACTAATTAGCTATTCTGGCACTTGTATTATCACAGAAAATTTCACAAAATTACTAATAACAAAATGTCCACCTATAATAGAACACAGCATATGTTTGGGGTTTGTTCGGTTTTGTAATACTTCTAGTCCCGAACCCGAACTGTGCGCACTTTAAATTTAGCACTCCAGTAGACAGTTCGAGGCGGCTATTTATAAATTTTAAAATCTCGGCAATACTCGGCGGGATTGGACTGAGGATTCTTTTTTTATTTTCTCCATATGTGTCGTTACGGTCTTTTTATATCCGCGGTCGGCGCGGCGCCCACATACTGTTATGGGGCAACTATATCGAGTGATTGACCGTAAGATTATATACAGGGTGTCCCGGACAAACATGACAATCTCGCAAACGATTAGATAGCCAGGGACCGACTTACCCCAAGGCGATATTTTTGATTTTTTTATACCCTGTACTACTCGATTTATTTATTTATTTCTACCCTATTCGTAGTCTATTTACGCCCCTGCACAACAAAGATGCGGCGCGGCAAAGCGGCAGCCGCCTAAGCGTTGCAATACCTATTGGTGATTCGGCCATAAAACTACGAACAAGTACAGGATTCGACAGGATAGAACTCAGGCTCGGGGTATCGCCGGCCCGCCGACGCCGGCAGTTGCTGTTTATATTCGGTGCATACATAGCCTGTGTTTATACCTTGGCATGTCGCCTACGGATACAGCAGAGGAAACTGAGAATATTTCTCCCAAAGCATCCTTCAGCCATGCAAAGAAATTGTCCTTAACGTTTATAAGAGCGAAATTTCAGAGCATGCTTTAATGAAAATTCATATTGAAAGACGTGTGGCGAACAAAGTCTTGTGTCCTAAGACAATTTTCAGCATTGTTAAAGAATATAAAAAAAACTAAAAATCGTCTCCACCACACAATACTCTGCATTACACGAACTTGTTGGATACAGTTGATAACTTTGATCGGAATGCCATCAGATGCAAAGTCCACGAATTTTTTGAAAGGCAGGAACTTCCCACCATAGACAAAGTATTCCAGCTAATAGTGATGAAGACTTACCTACTTTCAAAAGGACCACATTCTATAGTTTACTCAAAGGACTTCATTTTGAGTATAGAAAACGGGACAGGAATAGTATTTTGGTGGACAGCCAAGAGAATATATTTTATGGAGAAGTCAATAAAGAAATACCGCGACCAGGGCAGGAAGATTTATTATGTGATGAAACCTGGAAATGCATTACATACAAAACCTAAAGTATGGGCTGAATCTGCAATTAAATCAGCAAGACAAGCCTTCTTAGATGGACTAACCACTGGCCTGAAGAATCCGTCAGGTACTTATTAACCAATTCGTCAATTGTGTTGTAAAAATTGTGTCAAGTAGACTGAATCTATGAGCTAACACTGGAAACTTAGCTACACTAAACTTAGCTATATCTGGTAGATTTTAAACCAACACGTGTTTGATAATCTGCTTCTATTATTATTAGTTTTCTTGAATACTATATGAAATAATTATTTCTAGGAAAAGGAAAACGATTTGTTTCTGTCACATTGGCAGTGAAGATGGCTTTGTGCCCACTGCCCTATGGGCATTTGAGTCAAAGAAAACGACCGACTACCATGAAGAAATGGATGGGCGTTCATTTGAACGATGGTTTGAAGAAACGCTCTCAAAGCTTGACGACAATGCAGTCATTGTACTTGATAATGTTGCATACCACACTAGAAAACTAGAAAAAATTCCCATAGTGTCTACAAGAAAGGAAAAAATTCAACAATGGCTCTTATCAAAAGACATTAGTTTCACTGAAAATATAGTCAAAGCAGAACTTATCCATCTACTCAGGCAGCACAAATATAAATACAATCTCAATGTTATTGACGAAATGGCTAAAAACCAAAATAAGACCCTCTTAAGGCTACCCCCTTATCACTGCGAACTAAATCCCACTGATATGATTTGGGCAAATATAAAAAACTATGTGGCTTCAACAATAGAAGACTCAAATTTATTGACATGAAAAATTTGTTTTATGAAGCTGTCAACATAGTGATGTGGGATCTGGACAATATGATCGATATTCAAATTGAACCTGTAATAATTAATATTAACCATTAAGAAGATGATTCAAGTACTTCCAGCGAATAAAGAATTGTGAAAAGTATGTGCACCTCTTTCTATAAAAATAATCATTTATTTTGTTAGATTATTCCAAGACCATTGCAATTTCGCTTTTGGGCATCTTGTGTTTTGTCTGGGCGTAAATGGAATACGAATGGGGTATAGCGCATATTCAAAAATTATTTTAATATATACAGGGTGTTCCGTAACTTCGTGCCATAGCAAACATATATTTTGTTTGAATAGAACACACTATTTTATTTTATATTTGAATAAAGCTTCTAAAAAAGAGGTTTGATATCATATGACATATGATTATATTTGATAAGCTCACCGAATGTACATTTTTCATTTGCCTCTTGTTCCTGTTTCTCTTGCTCCGATCTCAATTTCCCAGGACTACTGGGAGGACTCAGGGAAGATAAACTACCTATTAAATAAAGAAGTGTGTGCTTATAATTTCTCATATTCAAAATTTCAAGAACATTATACAAATTTCTTAAAAAAATCTACAACTTTATTTTAAATCACTTAACTATAAGAATGTAGCAAATGTAAGTAAAATCAAAATATATATACCTGAAGCAGCAGATAAGTTTTCACGACTAGATTCCCTCTCCTCCAAGGGAGATTTTCGTATGGCATCCTTAGCATCCCTATCAGGACTACTGGATTCCCTGCGGATAATGAGATATTCATTATCATCATACATAGGGACTATAGATTTCATAAGCGGCACATACACTTGAAATTCCGATGCGGAATAGCTCAAGAGTATAAGATTTCTGAAACAAGAATCGCAACTGACATTTTTTAGCATAAAATGTCTAATATTCCTGGGCTATTCCGAGTCGGCATTATAAACGTAAAGTCATACTGTTTTTGAATGAAATACAAATTGTAGGTTGGTTACCTAAACAGTCTTTTTCTCACTGGCACTTCGTTTTCTTTATTCCTACCAACTAAGTCGAGATCTCGGTCGATATCGTTGTCTGGGGAAGACAGGATCAAACTAGACCTATTGATAAAAAAAATGTATGAATATACTATTTTAACTTCGAAAGTAAAGTCAAGCGCAGACGAAGGTAACATTTTTAGGTTCGTCGTAAAGCCGAATAGTTCCGGCTCTTAAGATGATCTGCCCCCAAATGACCTCACCTATTCCTCGATTGCTCCTTGTCCCTCATTAGCAGATGGGTCTTTGTAAGGCTGACATACTACGTGGAAGCCTCCACAGGACTGGGTATTACAGACATCAGTCTCTCTTTCCTCACGAGGTTTGATCTTTTGGAAGCCTCCGAAAGATGGTGAGGTCAGAAAGTAGTCAAACGCAAAATGTAACATTTTTAGGTTCGTCGTAAAGCTGAATAGTTCCGGCTCATAAGATGATCTGCCCCCAAATGACCTCACCTATTCCTTGATTGTTCCTTGTTCCTTATTAGCGACATCAGTTGGCTCTTCGTAAGGCTGACATACTCCGTGGAAACCTCCACATGGCTGGGTATTACAGACGCCATTCTCTCTTTTTCTACGAGGTTCGATCTTTTGGAAGTCTCCGTTTTCAAGGGAGGTAAGGAGGTGAGGTCAGAAGAGAAAAGTAAAGACGGTGAAATAAACATTCGAGAGTAAATGGAGTCAAGTTTAGAATACCAGCAGAGTAAAATGTGTTTAGGTCAGCTGTATCCAACTCCAAATGACCTCACTTATTCCTAGATTGCACCTCGTTCCTCTTTGGCCACCTCTAAAGGCTCTTCATATTGCTAACATACCCCGCAGAAGCCTTGTAGTCTGCAGGATTGGATATTACAGATATACCAACATCTACTAGGTGTTAAGTGAAGAAGGGGAAAGGAAAAAGTCGAGAAAAGGTAGAGTCAAGCACCGAATACCAACAGAATCCATTCTGTATGAGTATTGGAATATTTTTCAAACGTCCGCCGGACCCGTACAAAATGTCCATCTCCAAATGCCTAGCCCTCAAAAGGTTCTTCGTACCCTAACGTACCCCGCGGAAGCTTTATAATCCGCAGGACTGGGTATTTCAGACGTCAATCACTAATGGACATTACAGACGCAGGTCTCTCTTTCCTCCTTCGACCTTCTGGAAGCCTAGGTTTTCTACAATATCCCGCCTAACACCGTTATAGTTCGGTAATTTTAGACATTCTTAAAGCTCGGAATATATTAAAAAAGGTTTATTTTTGTGTCCAAAAAAGGAGGACAGCGTTATTCGGTATGAACCAATATTGGATGGAACGATCGTCATGAAGCCGAAAATGACACGTTTTCGACGATCGGCTAGCACGCACTTACTTTTGTAATATGTTTATACCTACAATACCCCGCATAACAGCACTATTTCGTTAATTTTAGACATTGGCTTGGAATATGTATATTAAAAAATGGTTATTTTTGTGTCAAAAAAAGGAGAACAGCGTTATTCGGTATGATCCAATAACAGATGAAACGATCTTCATGTAGCCGAAAATGACACGTTTTAGACGATTCGCTAGCACGCATTTACTTTTGTAATATGTTCATAACTACGAACAGCGTTATAGTCGGTAATTTTAGACATTTTTAAAGCTCGGGATATATTAAAAAATGTCTATTTTTGTGTCCAATAAAGGAAGACAGCGTTATTCGGTATGATCGGCTATTGGATGAAACGATCGTCATGAAGCCGTACATGACACGTTTCAGACGATCGGCTAGCACGCACTTACTTTTGAAATATGTTCATATCTACAATATCCCGCCTAACAGCTTTATAATTCGGTAATTTTAGACATTCTTAAAGCTTGGAATATATTAAAAAAATGTTTATTTTTGTGTCCAAAAAAGGAGGACAGCGTTATTCGGTATGAACCAATATTGGATGAAACGATCTTCATGTAGCCGAAAAGGACCCTTTTTAGACGATCCGCTAGCACGCACTTACTTTTGTAATATGTTCATACCTACGATACCTCACCTAACAGCGTTATGGGTCGGTAATTTTAGACCTTTTAAAAGCTCGGAATATTTTCAAAAATGTCTATCTTTGTGTCCAAAAAAGGAGGACAGCGTTATTCGCTATGATCCAATGTTGGATGAAACGATCGTCATGATGCCGAAAATGACACGTTTTAGATGATCGGCTAGCACTCACTTACTTTTGTAATATGTTCATACCTACAATACGCCGCCTAACAGCGTTATAGTTAGGTAGTTTTAGACATTTTTAAAGCTCGGAAAATTTTCAAAAAGATTTATTTTGTGTCCAAAAAAGGTAGACAGAGTTATTCGGTATGATCGAATATTGGATGAAACGATCTTCATGAAGCCGAACATCACACGTTTCAGACGATCGGCTAGCACGCACTTACTTTTGAAATATGTTCATATCTACAATACCCCGCCTAACAGCTTTATAATTCGGTAATTTTGGACATTCTTCAAGCTCGGAATATATTAAAAAGATGTTTATTTTTGTGTCCAAAAAAGGAGGACAGCGTTATTGACTCAATATTGGATGAAACTATCGTCATGAAGCCGAAAATGACAAGTTTTAGACGATCCGCTAGCACGCACTTACTTTTGTAATATGTTCATACCTACAATCGGTAATTTTAGACATTCTTAAAGCTCGGAATATATTTAAAAATCTTGAACTCTGTATGGGCAATGAAATACCTCAACGGGCTAACATACCCTTCGGAAGCCTTGTACTGCGAACTTCCTCACGGAATTCGACCTCAGGGAAGCTCCGTCCTCACTGGATGTATGAGTGGTGAGGTCGAAGGGAAAAATAAAAATAAGGAAAATAGTAGGACAAGCACAGGATTGACCAGGGTCAAGACAATGATAACTTTTTCATGTATCTGCGAACCTCCCAAAAAGTATCCAACATCTAAGTGACTTCACCTATTCATAGACTGCTCCTCGTCTCTTATTGGCGACCTCAAAAGGTTCTTCGTACGGCTAGTACTACCTCACGAAGTTTTACCTCTTGGAAGCCTTCGCCCTCAGTGGACGTATAGATGGTGAGGTTGGAGGGAAAGGTAGAAACAAAAACACCCAACACCTAAATGATCACCTATTCCTAGAACTCTTAGAATCCTCCATCCTCTGTGAGGTAAAGGTGGTGAGATCAGAGGGAATATCAGAAATAAAGGGAACAGTAGGATCAGGCAGATGGCTAACCATGGTCAAGGCAATGATACATTTTCCTTGTATTTATGAACTTCTCAAAAATACCCAACCCCCAAGCGACCTTACCTATTCCTCGACTGATCCTCGTCTCTCATTGGCGACCTCAGAGGGCTCCTCGTAGGACTGGCATACCCCGCGGAAGCATTGTAATCCGCAGGACTGGGTATTACAGATGCTGGTCTTTCTTTCCTCACGAAGTTAGACCTCTTGGAAGCTTCCGTCCTCACTGGCGGTATGGGTGGTGAGGTCGGAGGAGATGTCAGCCTACTCGAAGTGAACGACGCGCTTCGAGAGGCTATGGCACTGGATTTTGTGTCTTGAGCAGCATGTTCCTTGTTGCCGTTCGTTGATGCCAGTTTGGCTTCGGATTTATTCGGGTCACTATTATATCTGGAATAGGAAAAAAAGAGTAGGTCGAGTTTTGCTCACTTGTAGGTACGGTGTAATGGAATAGAAATTTCGCAATGAGAAACCTCAAATTTCAAAGATGGCTACCGGCTTGAGAGGTTTAGGCAGCAGCGGTGGCCGCAGTGGTAGACTCTGCGGTCTCGTGATCTGTCGCCATGCGCTGCGAGGGTTCTAATCCTGTCCCAAGAGAAATTTTTCTCTTGGCTATGGATATTGTAATTGTCCGTAGGAGGTACCACTCGGCGTATCTCGTAGGCGGGGCCAGAATTTATGCATGTTGTATGCACACGTGTGTGCGTCCGTGAGGCGTCCCACCTTTTCCCTGTATCCCGCTACAGCTTCACGGTACCCCATGGGTATCTAGGCCTTAGGCCTTCGTGGTAGTTGGAGTATTAAAAAAATAGATCGCCGACGGCGTCATCGATCAGTCGATCAGCAGTCCTTGCTCCCCAAATATGTGAGCAATACTCGAAGCTAGGACTTATCTGGGTCTTATACAGAATGAGGAGGTCATGCGAAGAAAAGTACTTCGTGCCAGATCAAGTCCTCGGTGATCTGGACTCCGACCAGCCGCAATGAACGGCACTTTGGCAGAACTCGGCCATCCATTGAAACCGGATGAGCGCTAGGACGTTTTTATGTTCGTCAAGGTTAAGTATATACTTTGTTTTTTTAAGCGTTAGGCTGTTCAAGATTGTTGTGTCCCAAAGCAGTGATAACCTCCAGGTCTCTCGTCAGAGAGGAAGCGTCGGAGCCAAGGCCGATCCCTGGGAAACACCCGCGTTGACGTTGTGGAAGGAAGGGGAGAACCCGTCAATTACGACACATATCTTGCGACCAGAGAGAAAGTCCCACCCATCAGCAAAGCTTCTCTGGGAGGCAACGACATGAGCCTCACCATAAGACTGGGTGAGTTTACTCCACAATTGCATGACGTAAGCTAGGAGGTCCCCTGTGGATCGCTGGTGCCGGAAACCATACTGCCTGTCGATAATCAAGCCGTAACGTTCGAGATAGTCCAGAAGCTCGCGATTTATGCACTTCTCCATCACCTTATTTATAACAGAAAGCTGTGCTATAGGCCTTAGGATCTTAGATCGCTTTTTTGGGATGGGTTGGACATTAGCAAATTTCCAGTTTTCTGTGAAGGTGCCAGATTCGTAAGATATCTGGAAGAAACGCCAAAGAACAGGAGCAAGCTCCGCTGCACACCTCTTCAATGCAGCGCGCAAAAATCAAGTCCAAACCAGAAGCTTTGTTGATATGCTAGAAATTTGGTATTTTCAGCCTCTGAGGGCTGTTTTATGTTACTCATTATGTAAGAAACAAACTGTTCTAGATAGTATCACGAAATTCGATATGACCAGTGGTAGAGTGAACGGCAAAACGCGAACATGTACTTGTGTGCTATTTTAATACTCAAAATAACAACATTAATTCGTACTTGACGCTCCTAGTGTTATTAGACCTAATTGTACTACTTCTGTAAATACCAGATACTTGTTAACCTATATTAGGATTATACAGGGTGATTTCGATAAACGACACGAACGAATAAGTACATATAAAACTAAAAAATATCGCAGTATCCACACGAAGAATTGTGCCACCAACAAACGCATATATGCTGTAGAGACCTCATACTGACACATTTTCTCGACAGCTTCGTAAGAAATCAGGAGAGCACAGGGTGATTCTTTGAACATAAGGATTGACTCAATAAAACAGAAAAAAATTCGCAGAACCCAAATGAAGAATCGTGGAACCAACAAACTCATATACGTTTTAGAGGTTACCAAGTACCTTGCACCACCTTTGGCGCCGACCGTAAAGCGTAAAGGGGAGTTCAAGGTCAAAGTAATTTTACAAGGAATCACGTATTCTCATTGAGGAAATGCAAAAGTATTATGAGCGTGGGTTCTAATTTGACCTTGTGCTACCGGACAAACAGACGAGAAATTGATTCTTCACCTACCTACTACTCCTACTATTATTTTTGGAGAAGTGAGACGTCCAATTCTTTTGCCTCTCAATAAGCTCTTTGCTGTTAAAACGCCTTTCGGGTTTATCAGGTCTGTCCACTTTTTCAAGTTTATCAGGTTTCTTCATTAGGGCAGGCTTTGGACTCCTTTCTTCAACTGAAAAACAGAATAGGTTTGAGTAGTTGATTTAATCTCATCCAATGCTTTGTAAGAGTAAGAGGCTACACTTTGAAGATCCTTATTTTAAAGAAGGCTTCATTTTACCTTTCATTTTTTCTTCAGATGTGGAGTAACTCGTTTTATAAATTGATTTTGCGACATTAGTATTTGTTGTGGTTCCCGAAATTCCATTTCTATTGTTGTTCAACATTGGCACACTGTTGCTAAATGTATCGGCAAAACCTTGATTTGTAGGGGATGGCGACCTACAACAAATTAGTAGTATGATTGCAATATAGTACTTATTTCAATAACAGTCTGAATTGTCCAGACCACACTATTCCTGAATTGAAACTGTTTTACAGTCCGCAAGATCATTGCATGCAAGCTGTTGTAGTTTCCTCGATTCAAACGAGCCAGGTTAGCCAACCTAAACGTATAAAATATTCCTAATCTATAATTTTGGTTAAGTTTTTTTTGACCCTTCAGGACACATGTTTTTAGTATCCAAAAACTAGTTTCAAACGTAACATCCAACATCTCAAATGCACATCTGTTAACAATTAAATAATATAATCACGCATTTGCATGCATTGGTAACTTGTAAATTACCAACTTTTCCACCAGAATTGCAGACAAACTTACATGAAAAATCCAACTGACTGATTTTTATGCGACACCCCGGCAGTTGCAAGAAAATGACAGAAAGAATCAGCTGTTTTGTTAGTGCGCATAAGTCTGATCAACATTTCTCTTGTTCTAGTTGTCTGTAAAACCGGTACATGCAAGTATAAGTGATTCGATGCAATTGTCTTGCAGACAAAGCAATGCCATCTATGGTAATAAAAATAGTCTTCTGTCCACAAAATATCTTCATATTCGAAGAGTGCTCATATATTCCTTACTTCACACCTGAATAAAACACAGCCCTAATTCAGGTAAAATTTTTCGCGTATACTATATGTTCACTGGAGAGCGAGCAGCGGTTGTGCGACTTTATATGTAAAATATTCTTAGTGTTAGGGGCCGCCAAAAATTGCGATACATCCTCCCCCACTTTACCGATTTTCAAAAATTACAAAGCTTTTTCGTTCTTGGTACAGTAGTAACCTTGTGTGAAAACTTCACAAAAATCCGAGTGCTGTTTTCCAAGTTACAAACCGGCCAAGAATTAGCGGACAGACATGGCTTTTCGAAATGTACATGTCATATAACATCCAAAATACATAATACCGCATTTTCGAAATTCCTCAATTACAATACTTTCTCGCCAGTGGCATCGGAAGTGAAAGTCAAACACTGTTTTTTTTTTATAATTTGGGCAAGATCATGAATAAAACATCCCTAATTACTACTGTGGACCAAGTTTAAATCGTTTTCTTCATTTTTCAGCAAAATCAAAATATGTATACTATTGAAGTATATTTGCAAAAGGATTTACTTATTCACAATCTTCCAAATCGCGTTTTTTTGTAAGAGGACAGTAAATCTAGTTGACTTACCTTGATCCTCCATGTGATTTGGTCTCTCTGGTTTCACTGTTCGCACTGCTGCTTCTACTCCTATTGGTGACATCCGGTACGCAGGATGTACTTTTAGTTGTTTGGAGGGGATTAACTCTACTGTCTCTCTTGTTTTCTTCCCCTAACTTTTCAAAAAGTGCCCTGGCATTGTTGAACCTCGTTACATGGGATTCTGTGCGCATCACCTAGAAAAGAAGTAAGGAGTACATTAAATGATTGAAATGAAGAATAAAAAGGAATGTAACATACTTCAGATATACTGGAATTTGTGATTTTTGTACGGGCACTATCGAAAGAATATCATTTTTATGTTAATTATTTTTTTTAACTTTGAAACTCTTCAGTTTTAAGATTTGTCATGGTGGAATTAGGAATATTAATAGTGCTACTTACTGTTACCGGAGTGTTATCATCAACTTTCTCTGTACTGACTAGCTTTTCCAAAGGTTTCTGGTGAGTTTTCCGAAGTACTGGTGCTGCAAAATCTCCAGATGGTGTTCTCGCCTAGAATATTTACATTTCAGAAAGTTTTAAAACTATCTTACCGTAACGTAACACGTTGGAAAACATTCAGTGACGAGACCATTTATTTATTCGTGTTGATACACTACATGGTGCTTACACATGTCAGATTAATACTGCATATTATAATAAATTGATAAGTAAAAAGTCAATAAATACGCAGCACAATATACTGGGTAGCGAAACAAATTGCTATAAGAATAAAATAATGAAATCGCATGTCAATAATTACTCTAAATTATAAAAAGATTTTTTCAGTAGGTAGGTGTTTACAGTCTTTGTGAAAGTTCCCTCGGACATTAAAAAATTTTGCATCATAGCAATTAATACCGCATCTAGACTTGGAACGATGCAGTTGTTAGATCTGGTATTTTATTTGTGCGTGTCCTTCGGGATTTCAAACCATTATAACTTTGTTTAACATACAATAAGCATTCCAGTATATATAAACTTGAAATAGCTCATATATTCTAAAACTAATAAATGCCTGCTTACAACAATCTCTGAAATACATTTTACCCATAACTCTCAAACATCGCCTTTGGTCACAATAATATATACGTACGTATACAATAATGAATCTTGGACTAAAAATATGCATGATACGCCGGAACAGATATATTAGTGTTGAAAGTTCATCTGTCAATGTATTGAGTTTTCTAAGTCAATTTTTAATCTAGCGAACGCCAAGAAATTTAATTGGTTGTGTCCATTCGCAGTTGTGTGGTGGAATACTGCTCACAAGGAACTGAGATTATGTGATACTCACGGGTAACCTGTTAGCTATAAACCAAAGCTGCATATTAGTGAAGTATTGCTGAGAATTTATTGTCAATTGTTGTTAGTGAAGTATTGCTGAGAATTTACTGTCAATTGTTGGGAGTTTTTGTTGGAAGAGATGCTTGTGGTGTCATCAGCAAAAAGTATGCATTGATTGTCAATGCAGTTCAGTAGGTCGTTGATATATCAAAAAAAGAGAGGCCCTAGAACTGTTCCTTGTGGTACTCCAGGCTTCTGTTTTGGAAGTATAGTTCTGATAGCCCCGTAATGTCGCCTATTTGTCAAGGAGGAACTTAGCAACGACAAGTTATTATGACTAAAACCATAGATGGACAGTTTTTTTTAACAAAATTGAATGGATACAGTCAAAGGCATTGTCAGGTCACAGAAACATGCCAAACTATACATGCTCTACTCCAGGCCCTGATTAATAAAACAAACTTATTAATTGCCAATCTTGTTGAAGTGATTCACTAATCTGTTTTTTCAGCAGTAACTTTTGGCTAGAATTGGAATGTTAGAATGACGAACTCCGTTGATGCTAATTGGGCGGAAACTGAAATACATACCTTTACTAGGTGTCACATACTTTTCAAAATTGGATTGAGTATCAGGTGCTTCGTCTATTATGTTTTCAGCAATTTTCACAAAAAAAAAATATGAAAATGCATTCAAATTATACCGACACTAGAAGTTTAAGCTTTTGTTTTTGTTCAATTACACATAGCTGCTTTTTGTTTAGTGGTTTCCGTATACGAGGGATGTCTTTTAAGTTTTGCATATAGAAACATAGTAGGCCGCGCGGATCGAATGTCAGTACTCAATCTTAACCTCACTCTTTAGTAAGCTTAAATTCAAAGTTTCACAACAATACGTGCAGTGTTCTCACTACAGTGAATTTTTAAGTGTCACCAAGTCAGAGACAATTATCGCAACAAGAATGCCTTGCTGAGTTACTGTCTGTTTTCGGCAACGAAGCGCCACATCAGTCGACAATTTCCAGTTAGTATGGAGAATTCAAACGTGGACGGGTGAGTCTTAGCGACGATCCCAGGGTGGGTGCACCAAAAACTGCAGTCACCCAGGAAAACGTCGATGCTGTGCGCAAACTCATCATAGACATATCGCGAGATTGAGGCGTCCTTGAAGATCTCAAAGAGTTCAATTCAAAAAAATGTTCATGAAGAACTGGAGGAAGAAAATTAGTTTCTCGTTGGATACCCCACCTGTTGAGTGAAGAGCAGAAAGCAGCCAGGGTTAATTGGTGTCAAAAAACGCTTGACCGTTTCAATTCCGGAAACTCAAAAAATGTGTACAGCATTGTTAGTGGTGATGAATCGTGGATTTACTGTTATGAACCAGAAAATAAACGACAGTCGGCTGTTTGGGTGTTCCAAAGTGAAGAAAGGCCAACAAAAGTCATCCGTTCTCGAAGTGTTTCGAAAAAGATGGTCGCGACATTAGTGTCAAAAGCGGGTCATATTGCAACAATTCCTCTTAATGAGCAACGAACTGTTACTGCGGATTGGTATATATATTTGTTTGCCAAAAGTCATCACCGAGCTTCGAAAAATCAACCCCGAAAGAAGAATCATCCTCCACCAAGACAATGCAAGGTCGCACACAGACCAAAAAACCAGGCAGTATTTAACGGAAGAAAACGTAGAATTATTGGACCATCCTCCATATAGTCCCGATCTAAGTCCTAACGATTTCTTCACTTTCCCGAAAATTAAAAACAGACTGCGTGGTCAAAGGTTCCAGTCACCAGAAGAAGCAGTTAACGCATTCAAAAATGCTGTTTTGGATTTTCCAGCAAACGAGTGGAATAAGTGCTTCGAAAATTGGTTCGAGCGCATGCAGATGTGTATTAATCGACGTGGAGAATACTTCGCAAAACAATAAAGTTATTTAAAACTACCTACCGTGTTGTTTTATTTCCATATGTAAAACTTAAAAGACATCCCTAGTATATTTATCGTGTGCATCAAGCGGTCATAGTAGTGACCTGGGTGTCGACGCGAATTGAGATACTTTACAGTTCTAATAAGTAGCTGCTGTTCAATTTGACAGTACTCGATTCTGGTAATACAAAGGGTCCTATGAAAGTTTTGCAATACAGCTTTATTTGTTGGATTCGTTCAAAATAATTTCCACCACATTCAATACACTTCTACATCCGCCAAAACCAGTCCTTAAATCAGCTCTCCCAAGTTTCACCCAGGAGTGCGGTACACTCGTTGTACGTAGGTACCAAGTGTCCATTCTTAACTTTGGCCGCAGGTTTTTCAAAGACTTTAGACAGGCACTGTTCCGTGTACCACTTAGCTTATTTCATTGTTTTGAATGAATTTATTTCGATGTTCAAGTGTCGCATTTGAAAATGTAAATGTGTGTATTTCGGTAACATGTTTTGCCACACTTACGAGCATAACTTGTAATTGAATTTTTGGAAGATTATTTTTTTAGAAGATCCAAAATGAAAATTCATAGATAAAAAAGTTCTAAATTGCAACCCTGATCTACACGCTTAGACATAAGTTATTCAGTGGACGTTCTGGCTACATGTTCCAATATATCTATATGAGGCTTTCAGATCTTCATCTTATCGACACCTATGATGTAATAAATTAATATTAACGACAATGATCTATTTAGTATGGAATACATTAGAGTAGCACATCGGAACGTCGAATACATGGTATATCAAATCCGCGTCTATTTATAATATAATATAATTGTCTATAACTGCACAGACAAAGCTTCAATAAAGTGGCTCTACTACAGTTCTCTGACCATCTCTGGGCAAACATTGTTTCTAGTATCCAGTAATTCCACTTGAATATTATCGTGTAACCTTTTCATGAAGTCTAGATCTAGATTGATATATTTCTTTACTCGGCATCACGCAAAACAAATTAGCAGTTTATAAACGATCGGTGACCTGTCAAGTCGTATGTAAATAGAATGCAGTGTTAGATGCGTAGCATAAATAGCATAACATAAATGAAAAAACAATTCAGTTTAATTTATTTATGATCTAGCGCAGTAATACAACTGTAATATTTCTACGAAACCTATAGAGCATTTTTGCGTTGTGTATGATTATACTAAAAGCTTCTATCAAAATTCGTAGACTAATAAAATTTGGAATACAGCATATGGCTGTACATCTGGCAGAGTACGCTAGCCGATCCCCTTAGACAACTTACAGGAGGCAGCAGCGGTGGCCGCAGTAGTAGACTCTTCGGTCTCCTGATCAGTCGCCGTGCGCTGTGCGGGTTCGAATCCTGTCCCAATTTTTCTCTTGGCTATGGATGTTGTGATTGTCCGTAGATCGGTCTCTGACTGTCAAACGCGGAGGTACCACCCGGCGGATCTCGTAGGCGGAGCCAGAATGTGTGCGTGTTGCATGTACACGTGTTCCCTCGCCAGAGTCCGTGTGGCGTTCCCCCTTTCCCCTGTATCCCCCTATAGCCCCACGGTACCCAATGGGTGTTTAGGCCTTTAAAATATTGAATTTATCGTTTATATTAATTCTTATTTCGTTTGTTCCTCTACGGTCAAAATGCATTATTTAAATGGTCTAAATTACTTTGTTGTCGACGAATTTCCACGCACTCATGCGCTAAGAACTTGAAAACGGCCTGGAAAGCAATAACAGGAAATTGAATGGGTCATAAAAACAGTGACAAAGAACCCAACAAAATTGCGAGTATGCGTTCTGGACTACGCTGCATTTCCTTCATCGATTTTCAGTTGTTTACTGCCTGCCTTTGTACATAAATAACTTCTTCTCCCATAAAACGCAGGTGTATGTATATACAGTATACCAAGAATATTGCACGACTCAAGCATAACAGAGGGTGTAAATGACAACTAGGTACGACGATGGAGTGGAAAGTTATCGGCCTGACACAGACATGGCGCTCCAACCAACGAAAATGTAATCTTCCTGTATGGATCCACATGCCATTTGTACGTGTGCCAAGTTTGTTTACACAATTTTGAAATGAACATCCTGCATAGAAATCGTTAACATATAGATACTAAGTGACATATAAATCCGAACACCCAGTTTAAAAGGTTTTATTTTAATAAAATTTTGTATAAGTACTTAATGAAGCATAATAAGTAAATGATAAAAATTTCAAAATGATTGCACTGCTTTAATGCCCTTTGACCTTTAATAATGTGTGGAT